GGAGTATTTAAACTGGGCCTTATAAGAGAAGCAGTGTATCAACATGTAAAGGTGAGTTGTGAGGATCCAGGGGAAAAGAACAGCAAGAGGAAAGACAAAGATGGAAAACTACATGAGGCATCTGGGTAATGGTAAATAATTCATTTTGGTTCGATAGCATGTGAGAAAGGGTAGTGAGTGATAATGCTGGTGTGTAGGGGGTGTGAAATGATGATGGAGGGGAGAGACTTGGATACCAAATTAAGGATTTTGAACTTTATTCAACAGACAATAAAAAGCCATATGAAGTTTGTTTTTAAAAAATAGTTTTTTGAGATATAATTCATTTACTGTACATTTCACCCATTTAAAGTGTTCAATCAGTGGTTTTTAGTATATTCACAGGCATGTACAGCCATTACCACAGTCAATTTAGAACCTTTTCATCACCTCAAAAAGAAGCTCCATACCATTTAGCTATCACTCTCCTACCTGTCCTTCCCCCACCCCCCTAGCTGTAAGCAACAACTAATCTGCTTTCTGCTTCTATAGATTTGCGTACTGGGGACATTTCAGAGATGGAGTCATATAATATATGGTTTGTTTTGACTGGCTTCTTTCACCTGTATAATATTTTTAAGGTTCATCCAAGTTGCAGCATGTATGAGAACTTCACTCCTTTTGTGGCCAAGTAATATTCCATTGGATGGGTATACCACATTTTGTTTATCCATTCTTTCATTGATGAGTATTTGGACATCCTTATATCTATCCTTATATCCATGTGTAAGTTTTTATGTGAACATTTCTCTTGGATATATACATAGTAGTGGAATTGCTTGGTCTTTGTTTATCCATTTGATTAACTGCCAAACTGTTTTCAATATTGCAGCACCATTTTACATCCCGACGCAGTGTATGAGTTTTCCAATTTCTCCACATCATCATGAACACTTGTGATTGTCTTTTTTATTTTAGTCTTACTTGTGGGTGTGAAGTGGTATCTAATTGTAGATTTGATTTGCATTTCCCTGATGACTAATGATATTGAATACCTTTTCATGTGCATATTGGCCATTTGTGTGTCTTTGGAAAAAAATGTCTATTCGAATCCTTAGCCCACTTTTTAACTTGATAATTTCTTTTTATTGTTGAGCTTTGAGAGCTATTTATATATTCTGCATAATAGACCCTTATCAGAGATAAGATTTGCAAAAATTTTCTTCTATTCTTTAGGCTGTCATTTTTACTTTCGTGATAATATGCTTTGAAACACAAAATACCTTAATTTTCATGAAGTCCAGTTTACCTGTATCCAGTTTACCTATATCTTTTGTTGTTCGTGCTTTTGGTGTCACATCTAAGAATCTATTGCTAAATCGAGATCATGAAGATTTACCATTATATTTACTTTTAAGAGTTTTATAGTTTTTGCTTTTACATTTAGGTCTTTGATTGATTTTGAGTTAATTTCTGTATATGGTTGTGAGGTAGGGGTCCGGACTTCATTCTTATACATATGGAAATCCAGTTTTCCCAGCACCATTTGTTGGAGAGACTCTTTCCCCATTGAATGGTCTCAGCACCCTTGTTGAAAATCAGTTGTGAGTGTCAATTTTTAGACTTTTCAATTCTATTCATTAGCCTATATGTCTATCCTCATGCCAGTACCACAGTGTCTTTATTACTGTTGCTTTATAGTAAGTTTTGAAATCAGGTGGTGTCGGCCTTCCTACTTACTCTTCTTTTCAAGATTGTTCTGGCTACTTGGGGTACTTTGCAATTCCATATCAATTTTAGAATTAACTTGTCGGTTTGTATAAAGACATCAGCCGAGATTCTGATAGAGATTGTGTTGAATCTATCATCTGGGATATTTAAGGAGCAGTATAACATGATCAGGGCTCTGTTTTAAGAATAGGAACCTGGCAGTACTGTATGAACTAAAATGAAGAAGGGGAGGCATTGTAGTCTTGAGGATCAGATAGGAAACTGATCTTAAGTAGTTTAAGAAAATGAGAGGAACTGAATTAGGAAAAGATCATGAGGATGGATTTGAGATATACTGAAAAGGTTAAAGTGTCAAGATGACAGGACTTGGGGACTGCATGTGGGGGCTAAGAAAGAGGGGAGGCATCAAAGATAGCAGCTCTAAGGTTTGAAGATAGGCTAATGGATTGGGTAACAATACTTTTTTTTTTAAACTTTGTATTTTAAAATGATTTTTGATTTACAGAAAAGTTGTAAAGATTTTACAGAGAATTTCTGTATATCCTTTCTTCAACTTCCCCTAATGTTAACATCTTGTATAAACATGTTAAAATTCCTTTTTTTTCTTGTTAAAATTCTTTAAACTGAGAAATGAGCATTGATGCTTGAATTCAACTGTAGACTTTATTCTGATTTCACCAGGTTTTCTACAAATGTCCTTTGTTCCAGGACCCAATCCAAGATCCCACATTGTACTTGGTTCTTACATCTTCTTAGTCTCCTCCATCCATGACAGTTCCTCAGTCTCTTTCATTACCTTGTCAGTATTGAAGAGTCCTGGTCAGTTACTTTGTAAAATGTTCCTTATTTGGACTTATTTGGACTTATCTGTTTTCATTATTAGATTTGGGTAATTTGGGCAAAAATACCACAGAAGTGATATTGTCCCCTTCTTGGTACATCATATCAGGGGGTATATGAAGCTATGTGTTATTACTGGTGATGTTAACCTTGGTCACTTGGCTAAGGTAGTGTCTCCCAGATTCCTCTACCATAAAGTTGCTATTCTTCCTTTGTAATCAACAAATATTTCCTGTGCAAAAATGATAATCTTTCATTACTAATCAGCATCTATCAGTGGTTCTTGCTTGCATCAGTTATCGCTGCAATGTTTGCCTAGTGTTTATTCCCCCCGCCCTGCCTTCTGCCTTTATCAGTTGGAATTCTACTGTTGGAGGAGCTGTCCCTTCTCTCGAATTTTTTGAGGGAGCAGTTAGCCAGGGAAGAGGTTAGGAAAAGAAGATGGCAAGTTCAGATTTAGGCATGTTAGGTCTGAGATACCTGTATGACATCCAGATGGAAATACCCAGAAAACATCTGTTATCTGCATAGAAACAACAGGTGAGTTTATGATATTGGAGGCAAGTACTATTATTCTTTTCCATTTTAGAATGTAGAAACTGAGGTTCATGGTGAAAACCTGAGGCCACAGTGGAAAATAAAAACTGGCAAAACAGCTGAGGTCGCTAAGGACCATAATGTTGAGGGCCTCAGTTACCCTACAAACGACTTTGGACTTTGTTCAGTGACTCACCAGTGAGGAACAATCGATCAGATCCTAGTTCTCAATCTATTACAACACTGTGTGCAGCAGCAGGGACCCATTTAATATCCCAAATTAAGTAAAATCTATGTACCTAATGAGTTGTACAGGCCATTGGAAAAACAAGAGGTGTTATGTTGGAGTTATTGGAGGAGGCTTTGTGGAGGAAATAGAACTTGCTATGGGCCTGGATGGAATTTGCAGTGAGAGGAGAACAGAAAGGGCATCCAAGAAGGATGATGCTATCAGTAACTCATTTTATTCCTTACAGTGTGCCAGACACTGAACTCAGTGCTTCAAACATTTAATCCTCACATCCACCCTAGGAGATAGTACTGTTGTAATCCCTCTGTGACAGAGGAGGAAACTGAGCCTTGAGTGTTTTTTAAGTATTCTCTCCTTGTAGGCAGTTGGACATATTAGAGTGTTACTATGCAAGCATGGAAATAGAACAAGTGAAGTTAGATGAATTGAAAGTTTAATATGAGCTCTTGCTGATGAAGCTCATGGTAGGGATGGATTGTTTTTGGAGATCAGAATAATTATAGCTACTATGTATTGAGTGCTGGCTATGTGCTAGACATTGTGCCAGATGCTTTGCTTGCTTTATCTCATTTGATCCTCTCCAAAACCTCGTGAGACATAGGTACTATTTTTATCCCTATTTTAGAGATGAAAATTCTCCAATCTCTTGCCCAAGGTTAAAGTGATGGTGAATGGCAGAGCCAGCATGTGGACCCAAGTCTGTTTTAACTCTAAAGCCCATAATCTTAACGACTTGCCAGTGCTACCTGTCCTGCTTCCATCCTCTTGATAAGGATGAATTTGGCAATGAGACCAGAAAATTTGATGTTTATAAGCGTAAGATTCTCTAATCCCTGGGTAGTGCTTGGATATGGACACTGCCAAATATGCCTTTGTGAGTCTCCTTATTCTAAATCCTCAGTGGTTGGCCAGCTCTATTCTTTCTTTGGATATAATTCAAGCAGGTTACAATCTGGTCTTTCAAGTCTTGGAACAGTCAGGCTTTAAAATGAATTTACAATCCTTTTAGTCCATTGTATGTTGATTTTGAAGCCTAAGAGTTTCTTAGTAGGTACTCTTGTTTCCCTTTTGTCTAAATTCTTGAGGGAAGGCTCTTTGTCAGCTCCTTGCACTGACAAAAATGGTAGTTTCTCAGAAAGAGGTCAACAGAAGGAGTTAATGGGAGGATAGGGGAAATGATGCTTTGTTATTTAAAGGGAAAGTAAGAGGAAAGATGAGAAGGCCATTATGGAATAGTGAGGAGAATTAACAATGTCGACTGAAATAAATGCACAGCCTAAAAGTTGAGAGTTATGTTTTATTTGGCAGACATTTCTGAGGATTCGAACCCCTTAGAGCCAGGGATGACAGCCTCTCAGATCACTCTGAGGGGATGCTCTGAAGAGGTAGGGGAGGAGCTAGGATATATAGGAGCTCTACAACAAAGACCAGGTAGTTGGAACATTAAAAGATTACTTGTTAACTAAAGAAAACCAGGCATCTCAACTTAAAGCATTTAGTGCTCTTCTAGGTACGGGAGGAAGCAAACATTTGGGCTCACTAAATTCATTCCTTTGACAAGCACCTAGCTATCTAGGGCCAGTATCCTGTCCTTTCTTATTCTGAGTCCCCTCAGAGTGCACCATTGTGAGTGGCTGCAGAGGCTGGGTTGCAGGCTTGTCTTCACTGAGGGATGGCGGCAGTGGCTGATGACTTGATGGCTTCAGCATTCTTTGTTTCCTGATATGGTTTGCAGTATTTTTCGCTCACAGCAGTAATACCATTTCTTGATAGTAGAGATTTAAAATTTTAAAATATTATGAAAACAACAGGTGATTCTTTTTTAAAATCCCAGGGTTGTAAAAGACTTTCAAAGCATGATATCAAAGACAGAAGCCATGAAGGAAGTGACAAGTATATCTGCTTACATAAAGATATAAAAGCTTCTGGTAGGGAGGTTTAGATAGCTCAGAGGTAGAGTGCATGCTTAGTATGGATGAGGTCCTGGTTCAATCCCCAGTACCTCCATTAAAAAAAAAAGCTTCCGTACATCAAAAAACATCATAAGCAAAGCTACAGCAATGGCAACGTGGAGGAAATATTTGTAATAAATGTCAAATAGTGTGTATTAAATATCATTAAAACATAAATAGCACTTATAACTCAATAAGAAAAAGAACACACCAGTTAAAAAATGGGCAAAGACCACAGATGGTCACATCCCAAAAGAAGAAATAACAGCTGGCCAAAAAACATGTTAGAAAATAGTTTAATATTTCTGGTAATCTGAGACATGCAAATGAGAGCAGCAAATTGTGTGTGTGTGTGTGTGTATGTGTTGTAGGGGAGGAAAATTAATTTTCTCTCTACCCTTCTAAATTCTTGGCTGAGATTACCCTGTAATAAAAGACAAAACAACAAGAAAAACAAACAGACCTTTAATAACACGTATACCTCCTGTATACATATGAGAAACCCAGGAAAACTGAGGAACTCCCTGAAATGGCCCAAGCCACCACCTTAATTAGCATCTCCAGCTAAAGACAAAAGAGGGGAGGGAGCCTCTTATGCCAGGTGACCTGGAAAAGGACAGTAAACAAAGGTAAGGTTGTTACGCAGATTTAAGTTGCTGCCTTCTCTATTGAGAAGCTGAGTTTCTAGGGCTTTAGAGTCATCCTTTTCTTCCTTGTACAGATGGGAGACACCCTTACAAATGGAGATTTCCCTCATAAATGTAAATGTCTCTTACAAAAAGGGTCCCTTCCCCTTGATTTTCAAAGCTTCTCCTGTATCTGCTGTGTTTTTTTTTAAACCAACTCAAAATAATCCTTATGCTAAGGAGTCATTTTTGAGCTAGCAAATTCTGCAGCCTTTTAAAAAGTGATAATGACCTATTGGCCAGGCTGTAGCAAAAACACATTCCCATGTTCCCTGCAAGAGTGTAAAGTCAAAGACATTTTTTGGAAGGCAGATTAGAATCACAGGTTAAAAGCCTGAAAATATTTATTCCCTTTGAATACCTAGAAATTCTCATTCTACAAATGTAGACTAAATAAATAGTAAAGGATCTGAAAATTTTGGCTTAAGTTACATGTGCAACAGGAGGAGACTGGTTGAGTTGCATATCCACATAACTGAATAAAATGAAGCTGTTAGAAAGTGAAATTGTAGGAGCATGTTAGTCACATGGAGTATATTCAGGATATGGTTTGGGACAATGCATAAGGCCACCATGCTGGACAGGTGGATGGGGTCTGGAGTAGAGAAGGCCTTGCCTGTCAGGCTAAGGAGCTTGACCTTTTCCTGTAGGTACTGGCCAGGCATTAAAAGATTTTAGAGGGCAGATCAGACTGTATTTTAGATAGCTCCCTCTTGCAACAGTGTGCCTGGAGGTAAGATACCAGAGAAAATGATGGCAGTGATCCAGGGGGAGAAGATGAGGACCTGAGAGTATAAACATTAGTGAATAGAACCTAGGACAGACTTTAGACAGCCCAAGGCATGGATCTTTCCTGTGGTGGGCAATGTTTACAAACACTTGTCCTCAGGAACCCCTGAATAGTTGGGTGTTATCATAGGCGGTGGAGCCAGGAGGACTGGAGCCATGGGGCTGGGCCTCTGAAGATTGTGTGCCTGGCTGAACACCACTTTCCTGTCCCTCTCTCGCTCTCTTTCTCTCTTAGTTAGTTTTCCCACCCCCGCCTTCACTGCTTAATCCGCTAGCCCCTCATTTAGGATGGTCTTGGTGACTCGTCCTCCTTCCTTCCTGACGACATTTCTCAAAGTACTAACACTTCCTCCTGCGAACAAAAATGATCTTTAGGCATTAGGACCAGGAGCGTTTATTGAATCCAGTGTTGGGGTGAAGCAGAATTTGACAGGGAGCTGGACAATGATGCCTATGAACTTGGGGCTGATAGGACTGTGGAACAGGCACAGCAAGAGGAAGTGGGAAAAGTGATACTGAGAGTGTGGGTAAGGAAGATGGGAACCTGGGACCGGAGTGGTTCAGAGGATGAACTGGTACAGTTGCTGGTACCTAGATTGGGTGCTTAGGAAAAAGCTGAATTTTTAAGTTTCTGGACAAGATAACCTTGGAGTAGCACAGAGAGCTGCTCTCTCCTGGGGAAGCTGAGAGAAGGAGGTTTTGAATGGAACTTGAAGATTTTTCCAGGAAAAAAATCATCCAAAAAAGACCTCAATTTTGTAAGGATTCAAGAACTGTAAGCACCCAGCCGACCTGGGAATGAGGTAGGTTGGAGCTAAGATCAGCCTGTCTTTAGGGAATGCTGGACTCTGAAAGCTATCTGTGTGTAAATGTCATTTGCTGCCCAGGTAGGTTTGTGTTTTGGGATGTCTCACCTGGTAGAGAGTAAGTAGATTTGGTGAGCTGTGTGGTGGCACAGGTGTGGGGCCACTGAGGTGACTCCTGGTGTGCCATGGGGGTCAAAGAGCAGAGCTAGAGTCTAGAGAAGCCCCCATGAGGCTGGGACCATGTCAGGTGTGAGGTGGAAAGTGTGTTGATATGGGATTTAGGGGACCCGGATTCTTGCCAACCCGGATTCTTGCCAGAAAGCTTGTCAGAACCTTTCCCCTAGGTTTCTTCATCTGTTAAATGGGATCTCATAACAGGACCCTACTTTGCTTCCAGGTGAAGGGTAAATGGAAGAGCTTTGTAGCATTTCTCTGCATGCTACCTGCCTGTGCCTGTTTCTTCAGGTGCTGAGCCAGGCAGATTGCAGCATAAATGCAAAGTGCCACATGCTGGGATGTGCTCAGATGCCTTCTCATCTTCCTGCCATCCTTGTGTGCACTTCCAAGTGGCCTCTCTTACCACTCTGTTTGCAGCTGGAGGAATAGTTTTAATTTTCCACCTGCCAGGCTAAAACATGTGCTACCAAAATTTGGAGGCAGTTGGCAGCCAACCGAAGAAGAGAGCAGGGATATTCAGGCCAAGGCTGGGGGGCCTTCGGGCCTCTGAATTAACATGTTATTATCAGGCAGCTCCTTTGGTTAATAATGATTATGGATGTGGCTCCAGCATGACAAAGTGGAGAGGTTCAGTGTTATAAATGAAGCTGCTGAAGAAACCCATGAGTTTACTGGAAAAGCATGGGGTGAATTTGGGGTCCTTTTTCAAATCTGCTTTTTTGATATATCTACATGTATCTGATTTAAAGATTACTTGAAAAAGATACCCTCTATCCTGGTGTCGGGAAAAGACAGGCAAGATGAGGAGGGCCAATGCGCAGGTTGGAATGACATGGCCACGGGAAAGTAACTGTTGGAAAACTCATTTAGAGTTTAGACCAGAAAAACTGCCTCAAAAGAAATCAGATCCATGACTGAATTGGGACTGGCGGCTTGCTTACTTCAGTAGGTTTCTGGGCTTCTGACAGGGCTGTCATGGATCAGAACCAACCAAATGAGTGGTTACAGGAAAGTGCGCTTCCCAAGAATCTACTTGTCTCCTCTTGGCTGTGGGTGTAGAAAAGTAAGAGTTAACTGTGGGGCCCCAGTGTCCCATTTTTGCTTTTCTGTTTAGCACATTGGTAGTATCGAGGGTATTCCAGAAGCTCAGGAAGGCTGCTGGCATGGCTCTTAGGTGACTCCAGAAGTATTGAGGACCTTTCCAAAAGTGGTTGGGGGCCCCTGTCTGCTTTCTGTATACTGTAGCTTCTGAGTGTAGCCTTTGATGGGCCCGATGCTGGGTAACTATGTACAGCCTCCAACTTGGTCCCTTGCCTAAGGTGAGTAACTTTACTGCTGGGTCAGTGCTAACTAATACCAGCTTTGTTTCTTTCCTCAACTGCTCCTGAGGGGTGGGGTGGGGTATGGGAGTGGGGATAAGTTAATGTTTGGATAACTGAAATTCCAAGTTGACAATCCTTATCCCAAACCATTAAGGTCAGATGTATTTCAGAAGTCCACATTTTTTTTATTTTAAAAAAGCAATACAGTGAAGGCGGAGTGCTTTACAGACACTCACAGTGGGGGTCTGGGACAGCACCCCATAATCAAAATACATTCTGTTTGTGGAAAAACGTGTGAATACTCATCACAAGTGGAATAAAGAAAATAAATAGCCTCAGCTCAGTTCAAGTCATATTTGCTATCACATTAGTTTTGGAAAAAAGAACAAAAACAAGTCAGACTTCCAGTCGTTAGAGCCTTTTGGATTTGGTGATCACAGATAAAGGATTGTGGACCTGTAATTGTCATTGGTTTTGCACTTTTAAATCAAATTGATCCACAGGGGAAAGGCACGTTCTCCATGGATATTTTCTTGGCAGGGTTCTCTGATGAGGTATTGTGTGGTTGATGGACTCCTGGCTGTGTTCCTTTCAAGACTCTTTCTTTTCCATTCTTTTCTCCTTGGCAGGAATTCAAGCAGGCGTCTTTACTTACAGTGATTTTCCTTATAGTACCCTTTGCTTCTAAATGTAGATCCTGAGAGAACTGAAGAACTGAATGCCATAGAATGCACACGTGACAAAGCCAAACCAGTCCATAGAGCAGATAATGTCTGTTCATAACTGCTCACCACAAGATAGGGACCAATATCAATGATTTTGTAAATCCACACTATTAAGTTACTGTAGGTGAAATAACTCCATAAACAAAACAATTTTGTGAATCCTTATTCCTCCGGAATGCCTTTGATCAAACATTCAGCATATCTGGCTGCCTGGAGTGGTCAAATCTCCTGGGGCAGATTCCTGGAGGTCCAGATACATGCAGATTCCTGGAGGTCCAGAATTATGGAATCAGCATTCCTAGTAGCAGGGAACTTATCTGTCTCTTAGATGAACTGGGTTCTTTTTGTTTGGTTTGACTTGGGAGGGAAATAGGAGAGTAACCACCTAAGTCATGCATAGGAACAAACCAATCAAATGTGGGGGAGGAAAAATAATTTTCCCTCTACCCTTCTAGGTTCCTGGCTGAACCCCCTGCTTCCCCAATAAGAGACAGATTAACAGGAGAAAAACAAACAGAGGTTTAATAACATGTATACCTCCTGTACACATGGGAGAGATCCAGGAAAACTGAGTAACTTCCTGAAATGGCCCAAGTCACCACCTTAAATATCTTTTCCAGCTAAAGAAAAATGTTGGGTGTTGATTTGGGGGGTGGGGACAATGGGGGAGCAGTTCCTGGAGGTGAACAGGAAAGGCACAGTAAACAAGGTTAAGATTATTATTGCAGATTTAGTTCCTTGCCTTCTCCACATTTGAGCATTTCTAGAGGTTTAAAGTCATCCTCCTGATCCGAAGAGGAAAACATCCTTACAAATGGAGATTTTCCTTGTAACTATAGTTGTCTCTTATGTCACTTCTACACAGTTTTCAGAGCTTTTCCTATGTCTGCTGTTTCTTGAAAACAATCAGCCTAAAATAATCCTTATGCCAAATTCTTATACTTTTGAGGCAGCAAATTCTGCTCCCCTTCAAAATCAAAGGGAATTTTGGATAAATACAGGATGCCCAGTTAAATTTGCATTTCAGATGACAATGAATAATGTTTTAGTATATGTATGCTCCATGCAATATTTAGGGTATACTTATACTAAAACATAATCCATTGTTTATCTGAAATGCAAATTAAACTGGCATCCTATGTTTTTAGTTGCTAAATCTGACAATGCTAGGTATTGATTAATTCACCTTCCCCCATGGGAGGCAAACCAGATAGCATTTGTGTATTCGTCCTATGCTCAGAATCTATTTTTAACTTGTCCTGGGTTAAAAGCTTCTCATAGTGGCTACTTGTGTCATAACTAAAATTGAAGAGTTGAAAATTGAGTCTTCTAAAGGTTGAGAGGATGTGTTACTGAGGCTGAAAGGGCCTAAGCAAGGCTTTCCTCATCTCCTACCCCACCAAACACTTCTTTGCTCTGCATCCATCTCTTTCCTTCTTCCCTTCTCTGTTTCTCACATACACACACACACCCAGAACATACATGCACACATAGGTTCATGTGCTAATGCAAACATGTTTGGAAAACCACCTGCTTGCCTTTTAAATTTTTTGTATTACATTTTTTGGGTAAGAGTTTGATTATTTTTTGAATTATTATTATTATTATTATTATTATTATTATTATTATTATTATTATTATTATTATTATTGAAGTAACACTGTCTCACTGTGTCCAACATTTCTCTTGATAACCATACTTAATTTTTTTCCATTGCAGATCTTCCTCCTGGCCTGCCCTCCATGTCCGGGAGCTATCGTCGTCTTCAAGTAAGGGAAAATCATTTTTCTGTTGCTATTGCTGAACTGTTTTGTCTGTTTGATAACAAAGGATGAAGAACACATTGCTCTGAACACCTTGAGCCTGCAGCGCTTTGTCTCTGGGTTTCCTAAGGGACAAAAGTCTTCAAGGACCTGCTGCAATAGGGAAATGTTGTATGTGGATATTTGGCCTTTGTGCTTTTGTCAAGTCCTGACAAATCCTTCTTAGCGATTCCTTGTGGCGGTGGTTTGTGGCCAAGGGACGCTTCCTTGGAAGGTTGCTGCCCTCAAGTTTCTCTTGAGAGCATGCTGGGGGCCAGACAGCTTCCCTCCTCTCAAGAATCTTTGCAATGTGGTCCTGCTGCTCCACTGAGGATATGGTTCTTCACTTTGAAGGCCTTTGTTCTTGTGTTTGGTTTTTTTTTTCTTAAAGTGCAAATTAAAGTGAGGAGAGAAAAATATCACCTTATTACAAGTCCTGACTTCTTTAAAATAGGAAGCATCAAATCCATTAAAGTGTAGTGCAAGCAAATCGTGTTTATCTGAAGTAAAGTTTGCTTAAATGAAATTCTCAAGAGTCTCGGAACCCTCATTTTAACCCAAGAGTTGTGACCATCTCACTTACCAAACCTTTTATTAGAGTTGCTAATGAGAAGCTAAATAGACCAAATTAATTTTGTCTCTTTCCGCCTTCTCTGGCCCCCATTTTGGAGCTGTTTCTGAGCAGGGAAATGGCCGCAAGCCATAGAGAGGGGGCAGAAAGTAAAGAGCCCAGCAGATCCTTGGATAATTGAGAGTGGTGTAAATGGCTTTCTGATTTACTTAAGTCATTAAAGTGTTAGGTAGGGGAAAATATACCCCATTTGCTGCTTCAAATAGCTTCTTGGAATAGCCGCTTAGTCTCTTGCCTTAGGTGAGCGACTTTCTGCTGGATGAGGGGTAATGGATCCTGATTTCAGGTCTCTTCCTTGGACAGCTCCTAAGCGGAATGGGTATTTGACCCTGTTTCCCTTCTTTGATTTCCCAAAATGGGCTCAGTTTTTCAGTGTAATGTTTTTAAAGTAACATTTATTGGTTTTATTTCATTATTATGAGAGTAACAATTCTCATTATAGAAAATACAGAAACCCATAAAGTAGAAAATAAACATCACCTCTAATCCTACCACTAAGATTATTTTGGTTATTGCCTTCCTTTTATTTTTTTTACAAGCAGAAATCATGTTTAGTTTTTTATTGTATCTTTTGTAAATTTAATTCAATTTGTATACGTTTATACATATAAAATACATAAATATGGTTGTTGAATTTGTTTTTTTTATAGTGGTCATTTTTTTTCCCTCCTCTCCTTTTCTTTGTTTTTTTGGCCCTTGCCTCTACCTTTCCACATCATCCGTGTGTATTACCAAACCAGTATGTATCCTTCTGTATTCTTCTCTCTACTCGTAGGTGTACACACACACACACACAGGTTTTTAAATATTTTGTTGTTTTTGTTAACGGTTTTAGAAAAATACAATCATCTATATACTTTAGCACATCTTACTTTTCTCATTCAGCAGTATCTCACTGAAATCCATCAAAGCCTATTGGTATAGTTCTTACTCTTTTACAAGGCTGTGAAATATATCATGGATGTGCAGTTTATTTAGCCATTCCCCTATTAATGAACATGTACATTCTTTCCAGGTTTCTGCCACTACAATCAATGCCGAATTAAACATTGTTGTGCTTATGCCCTTATATACTGGTGCTTTTAATTTATACACACACACACACAAATGTTTGTATATAAATAAAAATATTTGTTATACTGAGTTATAAAAACAGGCTGGCATAATTCAAGTTTCCCTTTTATATGTAGTATATGAGATTATTCTTTTTTTTTTAACGTCTACCAACATAAGGTGTTATGGTTCTTTTATAATTTTGACAATTTAATGGATGTATTTCATTGGCTGCTAATGGATTTCAGTATTACCTCTTTTTCTTTTTTGTCCAATTGGATTGGCTCTTTGAAATTCTATTCATAGTATCTGCCTATTTCCTAGGGGTTGTTTGTATTTTTCTTAATTTGTAAGGCCTCTTTGTATATTTTGGATATTGGCTCTTGGTCTATCATCTTTATTATAGATATTTTTCCCAAATCTGTATATATTGACTTTACTGATGATATATTTTTCCACATAATTTTTTGCCTTTTTCATATCCAAATATGATTATTTACTTATAGCTTCTCAGTTCCCAGTCTTTGTTAAGACTTTTTAAAAAAATTTTTAAATCTTTTTTAGGGGGAGGTAATTGGGTTTATTTATTTATTTTTCTTTAATGGAGGTACTAGGGATTGAACCCAGGACCTCTTGCATGCTAAGTGTGCACTCTACCACTTGAGCTATACCCTCCCTCCAAAGACATTTTTCTTAAAGATAGATAACCAGTGGTACTAGCATAATATATCAGATAATCCCTACTTTCCCCTGTGAACTGAACTGCCATCTTTGTCATCAGACTTTTTATATACAAGGATCCATTTATGGATTCTCTATTCTGTTTCATCTGTGTGTCTATTTGTGTTATAAATCATGTTGATTGGGTTACATTAGCTTAGAAAATATTTTTCTTGGCTGTTCGTTGGTATTCTTACATACACATTTTAATATCATTTATTCAAACCCCTACCCCCGCCCTATTGAGATTCTAATTAAAATTGCATTAAATTTATATTTCAGCTTTGTGAGAATTGATTTTTTAAAAATTTATAGCTCTTTTTATCTAAGAAATGGTAATTTCCTTCTATCTGTTCAGATCTTGTTTTATGCCTTTCTTGACATTTATTCCTAAAGAATTAATAGCTTTTGTGTTCATTATGAATAGAATATTGTCCTCCTTTCCATTCCTAAGTGCCACTTGCTAGAGTAGAAAAAGTTTATTAATTTTAAAAATAGTTTTTCTATCTAGCTACCTTACCAAATTGTTTTTCTTCCGATAAATTTTATTTTAGTTTTATCCCTTCTTTCCAATGGCTATACTAGCTATGTCATTTTCTTCTGTTTTTGCTTTTGCTAGAAACTCAAAGACAGAATTAAATAAAAATGGTGCTGGTGGGTCACTCTGTCTATAACTGATTTTAAATAGAATTTTTTTCTGTGTTTTTCCAATGCTTGCTGTTGGTTTTTGTTAAATAGCCTATTATATTTAAATAATTTCCACATTTACTTAGAGAGATTTTTTAAAAAGGAATAGTTCTGTATTTTATCAAATGCTTTGTCAATTTTTTTATTCTTTTTTTTTAAGTTTTTGATATAGTGAATTATGTCATTAGCTTTTCTGGTTTTGAACAACTCTTACATTACTGAAATAATATAATAATATATTACTATTTTGATACATTGCTGGATTCTATTTGTCAGTCTTTTATTTAGAACCTGGTCTCAGGATTCGCAAGTAAGATTGGAGTCATTTTCTATTGGATTCCTTTCATTTTAGGTAGAAGGATTAAAATTATGGTAATTATGTAAAATGAACTGCAGAATTTTCCTTCTTTTTCTCTGGCCTGGAATATTTTAATTACCCTTAGAAATTATGTGATCTTTAAAGGTCAGATAACTCAACTGTGAAGCGCGACTGTGAAGTCTTTGTGCCTTTTTCAGTTGATAGACTCTTAACCACCTTTCCAATGTTTTATATGTTAATTCAACCATTCAAATCTTTTTGAGTCAATTTTGGTCATTTGTATTTTGCTGGGAAATTATCTGTTCTCAGTTTTCAAAAATGTTGCCATGAATTTAGTTGAGCATGTACTATATGCTCTTATTTTATAATTAAAAAAACTATCTCCTCATCTGTAGTCATGTTTTCTTTCTTGGACTTAATCTTGTCTGGTTTTGTGTTCTCTTTCTTATACTTTATGTTTTAATCAGGCCAGTAAGTACTTTATCTATTTTTGGTTCCTTTGGAGAACCTAGTTTGGATATATTTATCATTTTTACTTTTATATGTATATATAAAGGTCATTTTCAGCTTTTAATCTGTTGATTTCCTTTTTGGTTTTTTCCTCACCTCAAGATTTGTGTTTATTCCTTTACTTTTTGTCTTTTTTCATCATAGTTCTATTCTTTGTTTACTTAATGATGTCATAAGCTTTTCTCCCACTTTATCACAAATTCACACTGTTCACATCATTTGAAAATTAAACTTTATATTTTGAGATAAATATATAAAATATACTATAATAAATATCATATCACAATACAGAAGTAGTTGTAAGAAAAACACAGAGATCCCGTGTACCTCTTAACTAGTTTCCTCCAGTGCTAACCTATAGCAACCAGTCAAAATAAGGAATAGTTCCATCACCATAAGTATCTCTCCTTTTGTTGTTTTACAGCCACATCCACTACCCTCCCACCTGTGTCCTGTCCCTGACACCTGGCAACTAATCTGTTCTCCATGTCTATAAATTTGTCATTTCAAGAATGTTATATAAATGGAATCATACAGTATGTCACCTTTGAGATTAGCTTTGTTTTTAAAGAAAACCTTAGCATAATTCCTTGGATATTCATCCACATTTTTACCATACATATCGTTTTTAATGGGTACATATGATTCCACTGTGTGAAAATACCAAATGCAGTGTGAAGTTGAAAATCAGTGTTTTAGAAAGTAGTCAGCTCTTAGAATAATCATTCCACCTTATATTAGTATAGCTCTGTTTACTGTTTTCAAAGTGCTTTGTCTTAAATGAGCTCATCTAATACTTCAAATAATGCTATGAGATAGGGAATACATTATATCTACTACAAATAAAGCAGATGGGGCCAAGAGATACTAAATAAATAGTTTGGCTGAGATTGGGTAGTGGTAGAGTTGTGATTCCCTGCTAATTCTCATAATCGGGTTTACTGTGTGCCTAGGCAAGGTGGGAAACATTTAACATGGATTATCTCATTTAACCCTTCCAACAAACCTATGTGGGTGGTACAAATAGTATCCCCAGTTAGATCAAGG